ACTTCTGGTATAATTTTTATTTACGAGAAAAACTGGCTTTCATCAGTTTTATTTCAAGATCAATTTCCTTCTTAATCTTTTGTAGATTTTTCTAAAAGTTGAAATTGAAAACTTTTAATTTGTATCGTTGTAAACTACTTACATATCGTGGAATTCACTCTTATAATAAATGTTCGCTTTATGGGGGCTCGAATTGAGTGTTAAAAATTCTACTAATTTCCAATGGTTATATTTAGAGTGATGAATTTATTTCTGCACTCCACGTTTGAAAAAATATCACATTCACTTTCATTGCTAGCAGTACAATTAGATATAAAAAAAATCTTTCAATATAGTGGTTCGGTCACATCCCACCGAAAAACAAATCTTTGAATATACATGAAATCGAGCTACAATATACAAGAAAACATAAGAAATATTATTGCTGATGCATGGCCTTTTCTGAATTAAACCACGTCAACGAAATCTAAAAGAAAACTAGTTTAAGAAGTCCGTATCATGCTTGATGAGCTCTAAGTCACCGTATCAATCATGTATATGAATATAAATGCAGTAATTCTGTACAAGTAAATATTATCATCATATTTGATACAATAGCATAATAATTTACGTAACACTTGGATAATCACAAGGTTTATACTGTATCTCACCTGTCGGCAATACCTTTCATCTTTTTTGATTAGACACACGGGATGCCAAGTAGAAAATTGTGATTTGGGGCTGAAAATTAAGAATTACCTCGAGTTATTTTGTTGGATGTTGTTGATAAAGATGAAACATTTTTATTCAAAAACATATTGATGCATTTATATTGAATGTTTCTTGAATAAAATAAATAAGAATTGTTGGATAACGATTGAAACTTCAAATTTAATAATATTAACAAATTTAACGATTTCATGTAAACGTTCTTGCATAATAAGTACATTAATAGGAACAGTGCTTGTAAAAATAACACAATAATGCTAAAGCAGCGTAAACAGTTCACTTATTTTATTCGCTAATTGACAGAAACTCGGGACTGCGTCGTTATTTACATCATACTTTTCCAAACCAAATATCTATAGGTCGAACCACCTAAACCTTAAAATATTAGCGGTTACAAGTCATGTTTGGTTATTTATGAGAGTTTCATGGTTTATATATTATTTCGTTACCTTATTCGTAGTTTCGGTTTACTTATATTTTATAGTTTTATTTATATTTTCATAATACACCAGGTTAAAGTTCATATTTATTATTTTCATAATTTTAAAATTTTATTAGAGGATTTGTGAGCAAAGTATGCTCAAAATTAACATTGTGTTAAGGCTTATCGACTTACGAATTTATTTTCAAATTGAAAAATATGTCAAAAACAACATTGCTTAATAAAGCTTTAGCTTCGATATTTTCTACATTTTCAAAATAAATAGTTAAAAACCTTTATGCCTGTTCAATTATATTTTTGCATTAGTTATTAAGTTTCGAAAGTCAAGTTTTTTGGGTTTTGTAAAAAATAATTGTGATTTCAAAATTGAAAAAAATTCCGCCCCTACGCTAATTTATGTCCTTCACCCAATATTGTATTGAAATATTTAGAAGAATATTTCAGTTTTCCTATAAATGTGTATGCCGTATTGTTTTAGAGGAGGAAATTTCCCTAATATCCGATCACATTATGTATTGTTCTGGTTTCTCAAATCAATAGTTTTGAAGATCATGTTTAAGGAAAATGCACACTTTGACGAATTTTTTTATTATTCTGGAAAAATAACTTTGATAAAGGATATTTCAATTTCCTTTATCAAGAAAGATTGTGAAATACCGTTATGATTTACATAATGATCTTATTGTAAGCGGAACATTGTAATTTAAAAAAAAAATTGCTTGTGCCCTGTAAAAAAAGTTTAAAAAGAAAAGTCAATAAATTTGATTATTCAATGAAAATAAAAAAATGATTGGCTAGCTGTCGATCTGTTACATGAATATTAATGAGTTTACTAAATTTGTGTAAAAAGTATATGGTCAACATATCCAATATAACATTCCAAGATAGAAATTATCATTGTTAAACCAAGACTCGAACCCAAAATACATAGAATGAGTATCAAGTAAAGAAGATACAATTTGAGTCCCATAAAATAGTCGTTGTCAGTCGAGATCGGAGAATATTATAGATCATGTAAACGTCAATATGATTGGATGTTATCAATCACGTGATTTAATACTAGGGTAATGGAGAACGCGGCTTGTATCGGTCTGTATATACTGTGTATGATTATATGACTACAGTTAGGGGCGGATAGACTTGTAACCTTTATGGATTATGGTACATAGATATCACTGTTAGGGATATTAAACCCGGGGAGAATGTCATCACATGGAACAGCGGGAAACATTGGGGAGCAACGTATCCGTTTTTATGAACGTTGGATTTGAAACCCGAACAAGATAACTCGGACTATACTTTGTGATCGGTAGTAAGAAAACTATAAAGTGAATTATAAATTTGTTTTAATGTGCTTGAAGTAATTAATAGCAATGTGCGGTTTGTTATGAGGGACAGCGTTACAGTAAGTTTTCATAGTGTAAATTAAATGTTATAACCTTCTAAATGTCTTTCTATTCTAGCATAAACATAGCATCTTATCACTTACATCTTTTATAGACATAACTTACCTTGTTTGCATGGCTGAATTCTGTAACACAGGTATTTTGGCATAGACAAACCACATTGAAACCTGAACAATATTCGTTTTGTAAACGATGGTGCAGTAACCACCGGGCATGTCATGAACATTGGACGTGAAACATCATATTTTCAGGCTTGACCTCTTTTTCTTCTTACCCTGATAGGGAATCCTAATTTGAACTAAAGTAATAATTGAAAGAAAAAATCAGTTTGTGTTTATGAGGTATAGATTCTCATAAAGTATGAGTTATAGACCAACTTCTGTTAAAAGGTGTTATATATACATTAATCTTATTATTTATGGATATTTTATAGTTATTTCATATACTTACAAAACATACTATTTATGATCATGTATAGATTTTATGACAATTTTTTTAATTTTCACATGAATTAATTTGCATTTTTTTAAAAATCTATATTAAAATAATAAAAATAAATTTCCAATTCATTAAGCAAAATTGATATATAAATTTCCTGAAAAATTTTATGAATAAACTTTAATGACAAGTTTTTTAATAAATGTTATTTACATATTTAGCTGTTTAAAACTCTGACTAATACCATATTTCCTTTAATATTTCTAATTTTAATTCCTAAAATTAAAAAATAAATTTTTGATCCATAGGACTGTGTAAGATCTTTTTGTAGTATATTTATTTTCAGGTGGTATATTTTTTAGATTAAGTGATGAATATTGCATTCTTATTTTTATATTGATAGGCTTTGTCTTAAATTTTGATTTAATGGTGTGTAACACCTGTATTGTATAGTAGAAATTAAAGTGTACACAACTGAAACAATGAATGCAGGGTTTAACATTTGCATATCTCGACATTGCTTGCAGGCATTTGAATATTTAATAAGACAAGATTGTCTCAAATTATGAAATATGTGTTTTGTTAACCGAAGCTTCAATGACAGAAATGACAGTTTCTGAGGCAAATAATTGTCATTTTATTGTTTATGTGAAAATAATTCATAAAACGATGTTCCGAAAAACTTCAAAACAAGAAATTGAATTTTAAAGAGCAAAGAAAAAAGTGAATGAGCTAAACTCGCCTAGATATTATTTTCAAAATAAATTTCATAAATGCTTGACCTACTTTTAAAAGAAGATCTCTAACGATCTGTTATCAGGCAAACAAATAATAAAAACATTTAATTGTATTTTTGTCATATTCTCTAGATGTTGATGACCAATTCACTAGAATTCTATGGACAACGCATCAGAACCAACTTCACAGGCCTCTAAAGTGAGATTTTGTAGCATTTTGATGCACAAATGTTTCTTAAACATCCTCTACAAAATATTGTATTCGTTGACAGGTGCAGCGATATAATCGACAATTTCCTAGCCCAATTCGTATGACTCTTGACTCGATGACTCCCCTGACAGTTAGAAGATGACACTCCATATGGGTAACCGACGTTAGAGGCCAAACTTCATAAAACAACGATTTCTATCAGTGCATCAAAGACAAGAAGAATTTTTTATTGATTTGTGTAGCCATTCGAACACAGAATCTCTCTTCAAATAAGCCGACTGGCAAATTTGACTCAATGAATGTAAATCAGGAAGCTATTGTAAAAGACAGAAACAAGTCGATCAGTAGAGCTAAATCGTAGTGACAGTTAGATCATGTGTAGTCGTACAATGTATTGTAACTTTGAGACTAATGTCGACTCAATTAGCATACCTAATACAATAATATTTTATCAGAAAATATCAGTATCATTTATCATATTTCTGACAGTTATTCCAATCAATGTTGAAGGCATTTTCCTACTATTTTTTATACCCGGCTTGCCTCGTCTAAACACATTTGCCATGCTTTGTTATGTTTAAGTCAGTCTGGTTACAAACTAGCCGCAAACTGTACTGTATTATATGAATGCATAGTAGTCTGTGATATCAAGAATTTTAAACTTGAATAAGCTGTTTAATTCTCTTGTTGATGTTTATAATCATATAAGAATGATGGGAGGGTGTTGCTTTAAAAGATTAGATTGTATCAATAACATTGGCTCAATATCAGACTGGATGCACTGTAACTTTACCAAGTTTAAGAGATAACTTCAGTAATCGTTGAATCATCTCCCTTTACTGTTATAACCATTTTGGAAGGTGTTGAATTTGGTTCTTTTGTGATATAACAGACGATGAATTACTGCTTTTAAATATTTTGATCTTAGCAAGGATCTAATTATTTATTATCTTAGAATGAACAGATCTGAGCTGCGCAAAACCATAAATCGATAACTAGATCATGCAAAGATAATCATGATTCTATGATATATTTTTCAGGTGGTATGATCATCTACCATGGAAACGGCGAATAACATTCTGGCTCATCCAAGCCTATCGTTTTACCCAACCTTACCAACTAGTGCATCATCACCAGGAGCTCAAGATACTGTCACAAGATCAGGTTTATCCACAGCAGCACAGAGCAGTTGGGGAAGTTATACCAACGAAGCATCACTTATGGCCCACAATTCTTGTGCCATGTCTTCCTATTCAAATCTCCCTCTAGGGGCATCGTTCCCAGTGAATGGCAAATCCGCATACAATTCAGCCTTTCCCGGGGCTGGTGATTATTTCAATAACTGTCGCCAAATGCAGATCTCACAATTAGGGACCTTAAATAGTATGCCAATGAGAAACTATCCGGGTTTATATGGCGATATGTATAATCCAAGCCATGCAGCATCTTACACAAATGGTGGTTTTTATCCTGATGTGGGACCTGGTTTGGCACCTTTACCCGGTAGAGATATGAATTGTTCCAGTAGTCAATCAGACAGTTCTGTGCCAGGTAAGATATGTTATCTTTCATTTTTGCAAGTGCCAAAAAAAAATCACATTGCGTCAGTATTTGTGTTTCACTTCCACAAGAAAATAGAAATTTAATCTATGTAAAAAGGAAATTTAATAAATACAAAATTAAGCAATTGAGAGACAGTGTTAAAACACTTATATTTCTGTGTTTCATTCGTAAAATATTATATTGATACCTGTACTCATTAATCTCTTTGGCCCTTTTAGTTAACCATTAGTATATTATTTCAAATTGTGCTGTGGATTAACAAATTACATCATATCAAGTACACCATCTCTTTTATGTTTACCGTAGATAATTTCCGGTCAATTAATGTCCACTACGAAGATACAATCTAATAATATTATATCTTACATGGATACGAAGGTTCATGTAGTTCAATACGACATTCCAGTAAGTTTGAAAATATTTGGATGCATAACATTGTAAAATGTTACAACAGAGTAGAAAAAGAAAGAAAATAAGAGCTCAAATTTCATGAATCAAAATTAACCTAAAATCAGAACAATTAATGCTGTAATCTGGACGGTTAATTGTGTTTTTGAGTTCTATATTATTTAAATGTAGTTTAACTGATCGATGGGATATTCATTATAAAAAATTAATTTGGCGTTTCCAATTACACGAGCAATGATCAAGAGAGGCTTAAAGCCACTCATTGATTTATGTTACCAACTTTGTCAAAATGGACTTGATGAAGTTCTGTCAGTCTGTGACTAGCGTTAATTAGATCTTCTAACCAAGGTCTTTAAGGAACAAGAGATTGTCTCTCAATGCTCATAAATAGTTGGTGGTACTCGTCTCAGCGTAAATAGTCCTCACCATTGAGGGTACGATCTCATGAAACTCTCGTGTTCACTTATTGAAAGTAAGATGATTACATATGCAAAAGAGAAAGATGATTGTATTTATGAGTATTGTGGACAATGCTAATAGAAAACTAACAAAGACAGTAGATCGTTTGGCGAAGATAGAGTTGAGAACTTATTAACACCAACTTTCTTCCGTTTCCAGTTAATAATGATTAGAATAATGCTGTTGATCTAATTGTTCATAACTTAGAAAAAAGAAATTCTCATTTTCTCTCATTTCTGCCACTGATTACATCACCTTCTCACTAATATGTCATCTTAAATCCATGCAAAATTCTCTTTGTAAAGCCACGTTTTTCTTTGTTCGTCATCTTTTTGAACAAGGAAAAAAAAATAAATAAACAAAAAACACCAGTGAAAAGCCTTAATAGATATGATAAAAAGCATAAAACCGAAAACCGTTTTATTAGATTTAAACTTTATGCACGATTTTTTGTTGAAAGTCAAATCTTTTCGCTTGTTAAGAAGTAATAAAATTTATTTATCTTGCTCGAATCAGTATTAAAATATTATGTAAAATTTATAGATAACTGCATGATTTATAATAACATATCAAAATAAAATAATCATAAAATTTACCACTAAACTCATAAATCATCATTCAATTCACTTTGTGGAGATCAATTTTTTCTGTATTTTACAACTAGCATTTTACTATTATTATGATTCAATTTACAAACAGTCCAATTACTTTAATAGTCTGAAGAGTAAAACAGATCCATTTACATTTTACTATATTGGTCTAGTTTGACTGATTTACCCTAATTATCTTTTTAAAATTGCGTTGCCAAAGATTAACAAGGTGAATTAACGTTTCTATAAAGTCATGCCAGCACAAAATTCATTAACATAAATTTTGCGAATCAGAGTAAGGTGATGCCTAAGCCCACTCTGTAAACAATCTACTGTTAAATTATTTTGAAGTTAGGTAATACAAATGAGATATAAAATCCATGATGGTGTTAAAAGATTTTTGTAAAGAATTTGGGATGTTGTTAATACAAAAATAAAAGACCTTATGCATAAGAGAATACAGTAGGCGGAAAGCCTGTTCCCTAATACTATTATGTAAATACATATTTATGCCAAAAAAAAAATATGCATTAAGAGCTTTGATTTAAATTCACCGCGTTCCTTGTTTCTTAATTTAGAACAGCTGGAAACAAAACAGAGATTGTTTTAGGTTTGAATAATTCTTTTTAAATTGTATCTTAAAATTCTTCTTAAGTGTCGATCAAGCTTAAAAAGTAGGTGACCACGATGATCTAGACTAGTCTATATACAGACAAAAGAAATTAAGAAGTAGAATATTCAAATAATTGTCTGAAGGCACCCAAGAGAGTTTATTTTATATAGTTTCTTAATGATTTATCTATGATTTTCTGTAATATCATCAAATATATGACTGCAGCCGTGCTCTTTGGTATGGCAATGTGTTAAAAAGGCCTCATATATAGAGTCCGGAAGGGGTAATTTTTGGAAACAGGTACTTGTACCTTGTTGTACTCGCCGAACTTTCAGATCTTGACTTTAAAAACGCAAAGCAAAATTAACATAGTAGCCAGACAAAAACGATTTGGTGACATTTGGAATTATAAATTTTCATAACTCATCATTTATTTTTCTTTTGTTTTTTGAGTGTTTATTAACTGTTATTATAACTAAATTGTTTGAATGTGATATTATAATTGTATTTATATCATGATAACCTGTTGTATAATTAAGTTGGGTGAATAAGTAATTACATTATAATTGATTGGATTTAACCTTCCTGACCTCATCTTACACCAATAACTCGTCAAAGTGTAATTTTGTCAAAATGTCTCATATAGAGACAGAGCAAATCACTTTGGCCCTAATTATGTGTTGGCTAGTCGTAATATTCGAGCCTTGTCAACCATTTATGAATTTAAAAGTACATTAAATAAATAAAGTTAAATAAAAGTTCAACCGTATTTTAACAATAATAATCAACATAATATGCAATATTATCATATTATTGTAAGTGTTGGTAATGGCTGTTAACTCTGTACAGACAAAGACCAATTTTGATAAAGGAAACACTGTACACTCTTTTCAACTCTTTTACTTTGGAAAAGTGGAACATAGTTTCATATCTGAATATAGTGTTAATATGATGTAGGGAAAATCAGTTGAACCTACTCAAAATATTTCTCTAAATTTGTCAGATGTTCCCTTTCATTAAAATATATTTCTAATCAGCATTTCTTCAGTCATTTTGATAAAGTAAATACTAAAAACTCTTTTCAACTCTTGTACCTTTTTAAAATGGATAAGTTTCAAATTGTAAATCTGATTTTGGCCAGATCAGTTGAACTCAAAATATTGCCCTAGGTTTGTCACGTCAGATGGTTTATTTCATAATATATAATCAGAATTTCTTCAGCCATTTTGATCTTTCACCGTACATCAATATGAAGGTACGTGTTGGCACAATTTATTTAAGAACAAACGTACAATCAGGAGTCATCAAGTAAAGGAGTGGAGTATTTTATAAGAAGTAGAAAACAACTTGGTAAAGTCTTATCTTTTGTCGATAGAAATCAGATAGTTTAAATTTCCACATTAAAATGATTTGTTTTCTGTCATAAGAAACGAAATGCTTCACTATAAAATTACACTTGTGTAACCCCACGAAATCTTACGAGATTTTCTTGTATGTTCAATCTGAACTATGCGAAGTATAAGGAAGGGGGGTTAAAAGGTCGCCAAGTCCGTTTGGATGTAACAGATAAAAGCTGTGTTGATTTTCAAATCTTAAATTTGTATCTTCAAAACTATTTTAAACAGTTAAGAAAAACTCAAAGACAAACGTGCAGATATTCAGTAACGGCGTCTCTTTATCCACGAATGGTATATTCATCATCACTTTTCTTTTGATAAAAAATGTAAAAAGGCACAAGGAAAAATCCAATTTCTGTAATCTATGTGTCGAGATGATTAACTCTCTAAGACATATTAAGTAATAGATTCACTAAGATCAAAGAAATACCAATGAACCATTTTAGAATTTTGTCGATATGTGAAATCAGATTAGGATATTGTAGATCATTAGTCTCTGATTCAAACTACCATCTTCTAACTAGCATTACAAATCAACATTCTCCCAATTTACAATGGCACAACGATTTATATGATTCACACCAGTTTCAGATGTTAACGTCTGTGAGTCTGTCACGTACAATTTTTATTGATATTATACTAGGCTTTCATCGTAGAAGCGTAACCTGCACAATATTGGTTTTAGGGATGAAAGTCGACACTGGGCTGTCTCTCGGAAGTACTGGCTAAGACATACGATTTTTCTTAACTTAAAGAAGATTCGAACCCACGGCACCCAATCGTTGTCCTTGTTGATAGTTACATTTCTGAATAAAATGTTTGATCAGTTTATTCATCGTAAAAGTAGATGGCATGATGTTTTGCTTTGTACAACTAAGTCGACAAGAGTTGTCGTTCTTCGGGATGATGTTAGCGAATTAAACAGAAACACTTTGGTATATCGGATATGCTTCACATGGGAACACGTTGGGGCTACCAGAGTTCAAAGTTGTAGAATATTCAAACTGACTTGGTATCTGAACACGTCGTACTTATGTGAAGTATACTATATTTCATTTGAAGAACAAGAAAGAACATGTTTATAATCCACTAATCACGTGATCAAAAAATAGCTAACATGCTAAATATCATGTTGGCACATCATACTAACACTAAAATACAATGTTTACACTCGCTTGAAACACAATGAGCATTTAAGAGAAACCGATGTTACTTTTCAAACTCAGTTCTGAAGGAAGAACAGCATCTTAACGAAATCTTATCAGTAATAACCGTTAGTTAGTATTTGACAGTCAGTGTTGCTTGTAGTTATTCATCAACTTCTTGTATCGTATCGCCAGGTATATCATTTAACTAATCATAATATTAGCATAATATTGGCTTACATTTGGTCATTGGATCGGTGATGAACATTTGATTCTAACATCAGTGGAATAGTTGCTAACTTATCTTTGTTACTTTAATAGAATGGTAGCTAAAATTTGATTTTAACATCAGAGGACTGGTGGTTTACATTTGATTGTAAAATTGATAGAAAGGTGAATAACATTTGATTCTAATATCAGTAAAATGGTGATTAACATTTGGTTCTAACATCAGTAGAATGACGATCAACACTTGATAGTAACATCAGTAGAATGGTGCCTAACATTTAAATTTAATGTCAGTAGAATGATGGTTAACATTGAGAGGAACATCAGTAAATTGGTGTTTGACATTTCATTCCAACATAATGGATTTATTTATAATCACTATACTTCCGATTTCACTTTAATGGTTTATGAAAACTTTCTTGTGTGACCTGTAATCCGAATTTCTAGAATTTGAACTGAATCATATGATCATATTGGAATCAAAATGATAAAAGTACATATAAATGCTCAGAAAACTTAGAAAAAGAAAAGTTGAAAGCCTATTGTGGTTAATATTCAGAGGTGATCTTCGGTAGATCCGGGGCTGAAGTGTACCAAGTTACCCCTTTCTTTCAGCTACGTGTAGAGATTGTCAAGTATTTTGTTAAAATATGACTCTATAATTATATAGTAAGGGAACATCTTGTTTTTGTCCGCAAAACAGCATAGTTGAGTCGTCACATTGATTCTTCGTCAACATGATTAATGTATTAAACTAACACCACACAATGGTAGAATGTTTCTACTACATTGATTTACTATTCACCATCTTGACAAACTTATAATTCTGTTTATATAAAGCTTGGTTAACCCACCAAAAATCATTTATAAGTGAATAAAGCTGTATATGATATCAAACACCTATTCTTATTATAACTTGATTTAGAATCGCTATACTAATCGATTCAGCATGCTATTATATTTTAGATAGAGAGGAAACGCCAATAGAAACTAAGTTCTAAGAAGCTTGGAGAAAAAGATTTGTAGAGCGAATAATATGATGTAACCATACACTATTATTCTTAAATAAAACCTTCAATTTCTCTATGTGATTGACATGTCAAGTGAAATGATGTTTTGAATGGAGTGGTCTGTAGCTATACCAATTCAACCCATATACATCCAAATTTTCAATTGACTCATATGATTTATTACATGAGA